ATCCTTGCCTTACGATTTAAGATGGCTTCCAGTTTACATTTTGTTGGCTACATATTCTTTATGTATACATTGTACATGTCTCCATCTTGAATACATATCTATATAAATATAAAATATAAAATATATAATATATAAGAATATGCAATATATCAAATAATATGAGCAAAATACATCTATCAGATACCTATAACTACTTGTGTTTTGATACTTTAAGATCCATCTATGCAACATTGCTTGAAACTGCTCTGAAAATAAGATAAATATTAACATAAAAATATAAAACATTGCTTGGAATTGCTTCGGAAACTGTACTTAGACCATACCTTTGCTTTCTGATTTTTTATACGATGTGATAATCCAGGAGGGATTCTCTTCTTTGTTTGCTTTTTCTCTCTTTTCTGCTTCCTTTCCATCAGAGCATTGAATCTTTCCCGGAGCATTCTTCATTCTCCTGTCGAAGTTGTCTTTGAAAATTCTTTTCCCGATGCTTTACGTTTTCTTTATTGCCATTGTTGTTTTCTTTAACCTTTCTTTTATATATTTCTCTATCCCTCCATTTTTCTGCAGAGTACATTCTAGATATTTAATTTCTTTAACTTCTTCTTCCCCCATTTCCATTCTCTCGTTTTTGTTTTACTTCTACCTTTCTCGAATACCATTAATTTTGACTTCTCTGAACTCAGTTTCAGTGTGACTCTTTTTCTCTGTAAAAATTTCCTAAATCTTCAGCATCTCTCATTTCAGATTCTCTACTTATCAGCAGGACCACATCATCCGTATACATTATTGACCAGCATTTCTCTTTCTCTATTATTATAGTATCGATAGAAACCAATTAAATCCAATAGATAGAATACAATAGGAATGAACCGCTTCAATCATAAATTCATCTGATTGAAAATCAACAAAATTTAATAGGATTTCTGTCTTCTATAAAAATTGATAGGCTTTTACTGGAAGCGTCAGCCATCAATTGGATTTAATAAGATAATTGCAAATTTTAGAATATTAAATGGGATCTAATTAATTATTTTATTATACATATTCAATGAATTTTAAACAGAAAGTTTATGTGATGAAGTTCAACAGGATTATATTAGATTTCACATGAGTGGTGTTCAATCGGTTTTAATTAGAAAATTGCTGTGGCCGAATTCAATAGAATATTATTGATTTTCATAACATTCACGTTCAATGAGTTTTAATCGGAGAATTGCTTCGGCCGAATTGAATAGGATACTATCGGTTTTCGTAGCATACATTTTCAATGGATTAATTGGAGAATTGTGAAGGGAATCAATCGAAGATTGCTGTTGCACATTTCGGATTCAAATCCATATTGAAATTTTTCAATCGGAAAGTTTTCAATGGAAATTTTTAAGCAAGGTACTCCTCCTGTTTATCCTTTTTCCATTTTCTCCTCCAAGTCTGACATGTATATATTGAACAGTGTCGGGCTTAGTGGACATCTCTGTCTGAGGCCTTTTTCCAGAGTCCAGAACTCTTCCGATTTCTTGTTGCCTATTTTCACTATTTTATTGTTTCTTTATACGTTTTCATAACTCGAAGTCTGAGATTGTTATCTATTTGTATCTTTTTCATCATTTCATTAGTTGCTTTCTGTTTCCACATTATCAAATGCAGCTTTTAGGTTTACAAAAAAGACAAACATTTTTCCTCCTTTCTTGCTCAATTTTCTTGACTACGTAATTCACTATATAGACCATATCCATTCCTCTTCCCTTTCTGAATCCAAATTGTCCTTCCTTCAACTTTTTATCCATTTCAAGTTTAGAATAGTCCATTTCTTTTGTTTAGAACAGTCGCGTAGATCTTATACACTGTGTCCATTAACATAATTCCTTTGTTTTTTCTCGCTTTTTTCTTCTCTTTTAGTAGATAGAACAAATTAAACCTTTATTCCAGTATTCCTTTCCCTTTCCATACTCTGTTAATCAGCTTCCAGAATTTTTCTCCGATTTCTTTGGACATGAATCTCCTCATTCTCTATCTCGTCTTCTCTCGGCGCCTTTGTCTTCTTTAATTTTCTCAACACTTTTATTAACTCTTCTTTCGAAATATCTTTATCTATTACTTCTTCTTTGCATTCATCGCTTTCTAGCCGCCAAAACTACTCTTTCTCGCTTACTTCTTAGTATCTCCATAAAGTGATTCTTCCAGCTTACCTGTATATATTCTTGCTTGGCCCTTCTGCTTTCTTTTTCCTATACTTATTAATATATTTGCATCTTCCTCATTTCTTATCATTTTTTATTCTTTTTTTTCTATTTCCTCTTATACTTTTTCTGTGCTTTGCATCATTCTTTATATCTCTTCCTTTTTTTCACATATTCCTCCTCTTTCTTTCTTTAGATCCTTCTTCTTTTCTCAATTCTCTTCTTAATTCTCTTTCCATTCTTTTCATTCTTTATTATTATATATAATTCTCTTTTTCCTAATTTGGGAGTATTTTCTTCTTATATTTTTTGATCGCACTTTTAATCTTTTCTTTCCATCCAGATGCTCTCTATATCCTTTTGAATACTCTTCTATTCTTCGCATCTCTCTTGGTAGCTTTTTATCCTTTCTTCCATCCAATTCTCTACTTCTCTCTATTTCCACCTCTAATGGTATGTGATCTGATTCCGTCTTGTTGCTTTCTACCCTTTTTATCTCTTCTCCTGCTCGTTTCCTATCACGTAATCTATAACAAATAATCTTCTATCCTCTATGTATCTCCATCCTTTCTTTTCCCCGAAACTTTTGTTCAGTATCGTTTATCCTTTCTCTTCTATTTTACTTATTAATATATGTTTATTATGTTATCTATGAATTCTCTACTCTCACTTCTCTTTTCATTTTCTTCCTCCTCACAACCTGTTTTTGCGTTTAAATCTCCTTCCATTATCATTCTTCCTTTTCTTCTGGAATATGTTTCATCAATAACTTCATTGTTTTTTCTATCTCTTAACTGTAATTATTCTCCATTTATTTTCATTATACTCCATTTTACATTCCATTGCTGCTTCCATAACTTCTATGTTCCTTACTCTTTTGCTCACTGTAGTGATTATCTTCCTTTTTATGCTCCTTTCTTGGTACATAGTACTATCAGTTCTTCGACAATCTCTTTTTAATCTTTTCTCAACATCTTTTCTAACGATGTCAAAATCCTCCAGATATTCCCACGTTTCCTCACATTTATTAAACAGTTCCGCAATGTTCCAAAAACAGATTATCTCTCTTTCCATCACACTCCTGCTACTCTTATTCTTTTCTCATTCTCTTCTTCCTTTGTCTTCTTCTATTCTCTTCTCTGTCTTATTCCACTGTAGCCACTTATCTTTCACAAATATCTTATGTAGTTTATTTTCATATTGTTTCTCTTCTCTCTCTCTCTCCTCTTTTGCTCTATCATTCAATTGTTTTTGCATTTCTCTTTTCATTTTTGTTAGATCATTATCTATAAATATCTCTACACTTAAGTCCCTTTTTTTAATCATAATCTCTTTTTTTCTTCCCAGCTTTTCAATTCAGTTATTATGGTGCACTTATTATCCCTGTCATCTTGAACGTCTTTTTTACTTTCACATCTTCAAATTTTCTTTAATGAATCCTAAGACCTACTGTTCATCTTGTTTGCATCCCATTTGTTTATACCTCTCTATAACAATGTTGTTTCTTCTCCTCTCTTTACCTTTCTTTTCTCTCTTCCATTCTAACTTTTCTATTTATTGTTCCAACTTCCTCCTTTCTATGTATTTTGTATTCCTCTTTATCCTTATTTTTTTCTTCTTTTCTCCATCTTCAATTTTTCTTCTTTCCATTTTTTCCTCATTTGCTCGATTTGTTCTATCATATTTTTGTTCATCTTTTTCATCCATTTGGATATATTTTTCTCCATTTCCCTCATAAATTTTATCATGAGCTTTTCTTTTCTTATTACGTATCTCAGCATGTTTTTTTTTTTAGATTTTTTACTATCTATTGATCTTTCTACATTGACCACCTAACAACTATTGCTATAGACTCTTCCCTCTTCCTCCTTTTCCAGTCTGTTTTATTTTCTATCTAATCTAGAGGCTTTCCCGAAACTTCTAAGTTCTTTTATTTCTTCAGGTTTTTCTTTCTTTACTTGCTTTCTTTTCCAGGAACTCTCCCACCTTCTTTCTTTATACTCCATTTATTATTTTTCCCTTCTTTTCGATTCTTGTTGTTTCTCGATCAATTCACTTTGTTAGTTATATGTTTTCATACTACCGTTTCTTAACCGGAAGTCCTATACACAGGGTGTCTCATAAGATGAGTCCGAGCCACATTGGGGGTGGAGAATGGATCAAAGGGAACAAAAAATTCTTATACTATTTTGAGAAACTCGCTATAGTTTTCGAATTAGAAAAAGAAATGTCTAAGCCAATATGCGATCAAGCCGCGCCGCGCAAATTCGTAGGACAGCCCACTCGAGCGGCGGCGGCGGCGGCGGCACGCAGGGAGAGACCGATGTGAACCTAGTGTTCAACTTTATCAAAAATAAAAATTAATACTGCAGACCGTTTGTACTTCGTTTGTACTTGTTTGTACCGATCATTATTTCGTTTGTGCCTCAAACAGTTAAATAAAAAGTGAAAAATAAAAAATGGCCAGCGCGCAACTTTAAGATTTTTTAATTTCATTTATGCCATTCGAAAGAGAATCATTTGTACCCATTTTAATGAGCAGTATGTTATTCTCCAGACAAAAATAGCGACACGTATTTTTTTATACGTGCCCATACGCACTTTGAAAGGGTGAAATATTCCTTGGAAAAAAATGATTTTTCTTTTTTGTAGTGAATATCATTGGAAAAATGTTTCTCGGTGTTTCTCTTTCGAAGCGAATATCGTTGGAACTGTAAGAGATAGAAAAAAATTTTCAGATAACAGAATGGCGTCGTGTAATAAAGCAAGCGGAAAGGTATTGTCACGATCAGTATACGCTTTGTGAAGTGCTACTTCCCTCTCCCTGCGCACTGCCACTGTCACCGCTCGAGTGTAGGCCGTTCTACGAATTCGCGCGGCGCGGCTTAACCGCATATTGACTTAGACGTTTCCTTTTCGAAAACTGCAGCGAGTATCTCAAAATAGTATAAGAATTTTTTGTTCTCTTTGATCCATTCTCCGCCCTCAATGTGGTTCCGACTCATCTTAAGAGACACCCTGTGTGTGTGTGTGTGTGTGTGTGTGTGTGTGTGTGTGTGTGTG